AACTCAAACTTGATTTGCTTTTGTTTGTTGCCAACTTCATTTTACACCTCTAGAGAGAAGTGATATACTACCATGAATGCTCAGACAGTAGCAAGAAGCGATGGAACGAAAAATGAGAAATTCGACAACGGGTTCCAGGCCAGGATATATGCCACATCTTAAAATGATCCTTTTTTCCAGTGTGTGAGAAATACGCAAAAATAAACGAGAAATCACAGTTTAAGTTGCCCCACGCCCTCTCCATACAGGTTTTGATCTGCTGATTACATACCACCGTCCAACACCTGAGGCAAAGTTGAACCGGTCTGTGAGCGACGCAGCCCAGTAATTCCAAGATTACATGTAGCAGCTAAAATAACGCACGGAATTGTGGCTGGGTTCGTGAAACTGCAGGCTGAGTGACTGATTTGACCGGCTCTCAAATTGCGTGTACTTTTGGGATGGGATAATGCTGAACTAGGATGGATATTCCACTTTTTCCACTGTCTTGGTCCGCAACACTTCTTACCTATGCTGTCCTTACGTGCCTAACGTAGCTAAGACCAAAGTAAATACCTATCTCAGGTCCAAAAATAAATGAATGAAGACATTATCTAGTTAATAGAAACAGTCAAGAAACAAGTGCCTGTCCGTAGTGACCTTACGCGAAGCACTTCAATCAGACGGAACTGTACGCCAGACGAAGTTAGCATTCCACTGTGTCGTAATCCCAGTGACAAGTACCCTACGGCCGTTCCACTCGGATCAAAAAACGCCTTCGGTGATTCATCCTTGTCCCTTGCCTTGATTATAAATAAATTAAGCCATTGAAAAAAACGTTCCAGCGGTGTTTGCGCGCATGTACCTATACGCCAACTACCAATGTTGATCCATTAGGGAGGTAGCCAAGGACAAGGGTTTTTTTATTCCCGTTCAGCAAGCTATGAACACGAAGCAGCTATGACCGAGAAACCTCATCAAGCATCACCTGTGGGTAATGCAAGTGATTCACTCGCAAGGTAGAGGGAACGAAAGACATCACCTCAACTCTCTCTCCCCAGAGCTCTCAAGATACCAAAGTGGAAATAATGACCCGAGATGGTTGGATACGTTTCTGAACTAAGCACCGCTATCAGCACATGCTGCAATACATGGAGATTTGTTGCTCCCGTCACACTAGATCTCGCTCCGATACAACAGATTTGCTGTGTTCTCAAATTTTGTGCGAAATTCTGAAATTTGCTTTCGTTTAGAAAAGACTACTCAGGTAGCGTAGTGGTACCGAGTGTCAAGCCACCTACCAAGATATTTGAGTCCGGTCTTATTGCCGTTTTCGTAAAGAGATTCTTCTCGGACACCTACCTACAAAACTGTAATCTGTAAACAATTCCCACATAATTAGTAGGCATTCTCCTCATTGCTATTTTAGCCTGTATAAATTCAAATCCATCCTTTTTTAGAAAATTTTACGACAATGGTCTTTCTAGTACGCATTTTGTAAAAATGTTTGTCTTTTTCAAACGTTATGCCTCAAATAGGAGTAGCTTTCAGGTTTAAGAAATTTTCAATAGGACAGTGTGAAAGGCATACCCGCAAAGCATCGTATCTATCCATTTTTCAAGGCTGCTCACAAAGTATACCACATGGTAAAAAAATCGTTGCAAACTTTTATGAACATCGTTTAACGTCTTGTTTATAAAGTACAGCAATGCGCGATTTAGGCGGAAAATGGTAAGTATAAAAGGCAGGTTGGGTCCCAAGTTATTCGGTAATTGAAAATGCATTTGAAGACTCTAAGAAACATAAATTGGAAGAAGATGTAATTTTCTAGCAAATGAGTAAGACAAAAAATACCTTTTGTGCATATATTCGTTAAAATAAGCTTGAATTTCTATAAGCCGCACAATTCCATGGGAAAAATTCAAACTGCATAAGCTGCCATTTTTTACAGAGTGTGCCGTCTTCGAAGGCGGCAGGGAAGAAGCTCGTTCAAAAGCCGGCGTGTGCTCCACAAGCCTTTGCAATGAAGGAAAGAATGTACACGTGACCAGACAACAAGACAAGAATGGCGACCTGAGTTGACAAGGAATGCGTGGGTAAATACAGGCTTGGTCGGTAGCGCGCACGCACTTCCACGATCGTCTGCACCTGGGCAGTGCTAAAATGTCATTTTCTGTTCTGCATACTTGACAAGGGAACATATTTTCATTACCGAGGCATCATCAGCTATCTGTTCTATTAAGATTTCATATTTTTATCATCCAGCATCAGGATCCACACATATTTTGCACGTTCAGTAAGTTGATTAAACCTATTGCAACTCCCTTGTCACTATAATCGACGTCAAAAGGAACGAACGCGAATTCTAAAGTTGTGAAAATTCCGATCAGAGAACTCAGAAAAGAGTAATTGGCGAGCGTACGTAGGCTTTCGATAAATTCTCGTCGGGGCAGGTTATACTGGTCGCCTGAGTCGCCTGAGTTTAAACGGATAAAGGAACACCTCCCGGCCTGACTGAGAAAAGGTGAAGTCGGGAGCATAAAGAGCTCTGTTCTTGCGCATATGGTTGATTCCGGACATCGGGTGGACCCCAACGATGCCACCCGAGTGATCTATAAGGTCCCACCAAACTATTCAAGGTGTCTGGGTCAGTGCCTGCTAGCAACAGCAGAAGTGACCGCTATCAAGTTAGTGAAGCCGGCGTTGAGTGCACAAAAGAACCTTGTACAAGCTCCGTGTCTGGCGTGGCCGACAGTAACTTAGCCGCATGCACTCATGCGCGCTCTCTTCGTCTCCCTCCCCTCTTCCCTAGGCTGGCTCCATCAAACCCTGCCCCCGCAGCCAGTCGTCTATTATCAACTCCTCCCCCCTATTCCCGCGGATCACTTGTACGAAGAGGCGAACACGTTTGAACTTGTATCCAGTTCCTAAACAAATGTACTGGCCCGACTAGAATTTATCGGAAGTCTACGTACGCTCCCCGACTACTCTTCTGGACTCAACGGGACTCCATTTTACTCTGGCCACTAGGATGCTTGAATCATGTCGTGGGAATATGGTTGCTGCGTTTTATTCATTATCTTTGTGTTCGACGTTTTGAAAGTTCTGCCGACCCCTACTGAATTCACTTTTCGCCTTAAAACTGCTGCCGTAATTAACATTTCAAAGAGAGAGAGAGAGAGAGAGAGAGAGAGAGAGAGAGAGAGAGAGAGAGAG